CTTAAATATCTATGTAAGGATTTATGAACACATTTACTTGAACTATAGGGGAAATAACGGTCATTTGAACCATTTCCAATTGAATGGGAGAATCTCTGTATGGGCTGAGCCCCTGTTCCAATGCCCGTGTTGTGTTGAGCAGAACCATGCCATAGCATCAATGTAGTTCAGTGTCTGACAGCTGGCGCCTGGTTGTACAGCGAACTCCCATATGCTCATGGATTGGCTTCTTCTCTGATTTATTTTTTTTTCTTTTTTTGGGGTTTTTTTTTTTTTTTTTTGGGTGGCGGCTTGTTAAGTTTCATGGCAAACGCATGTTGAATGTTTATCAATGTTTTCTGAAGAATTTGGGGGAGTGGGTTAAAAAATATACAGATATTTTTTTCCAACGCAAAACAGAGCAACACATGGGCTAGGCTCTAGAAAAAGGGGAGTTTGCCTCAGTTGCTTCAAGATAAGATACATCAACATTCTATTTCCATCAATTGGCACCGGAGGAACAATTTTCACTTATAACCTTTATCCAAACTATGAGTTTATAGTGTGTCAGAATGAGGCATTCGCGTCCAAACGGGAGAAAACGGCTCCACCCAGCACAAGTTAGACTCCTTGCTAATCCCTCATCAGGAGTAACAGGAACATCTGGATGGAGAGCCTTTTAAAGCAACTTTTCTTTTTTATTTGTCCTACTTTACTCTAATCCTCCCACGCCATGTGACCGTCTCTTCACTGACGCCTTAGCATCGCCAACGCCGCAGTATGCCGTGTGTCGCAATGAGGCAAAGGAGGGAAGAGGCACTTGCGTCTGCCCCCTCATTGTCTCATTATTTTCTTGTTCTTGTTTTTTTTTTTTTTTTTTTCTTTTCAAGGATTTGGAGCCTTACAGAAAGAGAATAATGACACTGGCTGGCATCAAAGAGCAAAAAAACACTTAAATACAAGGTACTTACTGGCTGGAAGACACAGGAGGCAAATGTAACATAAAAATACTGCAATCAAATCTTACGTGGCCATTTTAGGTACAATTAGAACAGGGGTCGGCAACCCAAAATGTTGAAAGAGCCATATTGGACCCCCCCCAAAAAAAAAACCAAAACAAACAAACAAACAAACTCGTCTGGAGCTGCAAAAAATTAAAAGCCTTATATAAGCCTCATAATGAAGGCACCACACATGTATGTATCTATATTAGCCTACTATCAAAATGACTAAGTTGGCTACAAATACACAATGAGCCTTCACGATTAAATGTTTTTTTTTCCCTTCAGTTCATCCACACAATCCAAAAAAAAAAAAAAAACACGTCTGAAGCCACAAAAAATTAAAAGGCTTATATAACCCTCATAATGAAGGCAATGCACACCGTATGTATCCATATTAACCTACTGTCAAAATGACTAAGTTGGCTACAAATACACAACGAGCCTTCACGATTACATGTTTTTTTTTTTCCCTGCAGTTCATCCACACAATCCAGCATGGATCAAATTAGAAGAGTTGACTTATCGCCTTGCTAATGAATGTCAAGCTCGCTGAAATCTGTCAGCGGGTTGTAAAGTCATCCACTGAGCCTCACAGACAGCTAAGAGTGAAACAGATGTATGGTTATTCATTAGCGCTCCTGAGACTTGGACGGGAGTCCTTTCCACCACCTGTTGTTGTGCCACACGCCCGTGTGTGCGCGCACACGCGCACACTTATGCAAGACCACCACCTTAAAACTGGCCTCTCATTAACACACTCCCACACACTTCCATCCTTGTCTACTCCGCCAGAGCTAATTGGGTCACATTTTAGCCCACAGTCAGCACAACCACCCTCATAGGGGAAGGGGCGAGGGGGTCTAAGACCGCCACCACCACCATGCTGGTTTAGCATATGCCCCTCTACTTGCTAGAGGAAGCCAGATTAGAAGCAGACAGACATGGTGAGACTCTGGCTGCAAGAGAAGTGTGCCTTTTCTATTACTTCTGTTATTACGTTGCTGACAGAATGCGCTCCATGCATTGAGTCTGGAAAGTATTCTTCAATCTTCACCTCTTCCACATTTTGTCGATACAGTATTGTTTTGGTTTTTACTTTAAAGATAAGATAAGATAACCTTTATTTGTCCCACACTTGGGAAATTTGCAAAGGATATCCCCTTTGACATGCATGACCTCATTTTCGAATGGGGGTGCTTAAAATACTTTAAAAAAAAATCCACAACAAAATGTAAAACATTTGAACACAAAACGCACAGCAAGCACACTCGCACCCAAATCACTCACACTCGATGCTGCCTTAAGACGAGCCTCTCACTAGCCGCCATATTTCCTAACATTAATTTACACATACAACAATATTAATAATACATATACCATATTTTCCGCACTAAAAGGTGCACCTAAAAGCCTTTCATTTTCTTAAAAGCTCACAGCGCGCCTTAAAATCCGATGCGCCTTGTTTATGGTCATTACGGTAATATTTCGACCCCAAAATGGCTCCTTGCTCGAGACATGCTAACATCGCAGAGTTCAAACTTAAGGCGATCGGTTACATAGTTGAACAAGGAAATAGAGCAGCGGGAAGAGGGTTCAACGTTAACGCGTCAATGTTATAACTTGCTGTTGGTTAAGTGAACTGTGTCGCTGCTTTATTAAATACGTTTTGCTAACATATGATTGTTCTGTTGGCGTTTCCTTGAGCGTAGCTCCATCTAGTGGATGCATTGTAGGTTGCGTCTTATAATGCGGTGTGCCCAATGTATGAAAAAAAAATCACAAAATAGGCAATTCATTGAAGGTGCACCTGTTAGTGTGGAAAATACGGTATTGCATATATAGCATGCACAACCTAAGGCACAAGACACACTGGAAATACATGATGACATAAGGTAAATAACTGTAAACAAGTCGAGTGTATGTCCAAATGAAATGAATCCAGCAAAAAAAAAATTGAAATCAAAAACGAGAAGAGGAACTTTTATTCCAGTCCGATGGGGCTTGAAACTTAAAGGCCCGCCGACCGATTTCTTTTCTTATTCTTTGGCAAGACACGCTTCAAAATATCAAAGGAACGGCTTCGGGACAATTGTGAATGGCCTTGAGTGGCTCATCGGGAGCCCAACCTTGAATGTGAGTCAAGATCTCTCAGAGAGATTTAAAGGGTGCACAGATGCTACCCATCTAACCTGATGACGCTTGAGAGATGCGGTAAAGACAAAATGGGATGAAACTGGCCAAAAGGGGTGAAAAGCTTGTGGCATCACATTTAGAAACCCTTGAGACTGTAAGGCAGCCCAAAGCCCATTAATAAAGTATTATGGATAGAACATAGGAGTTGCACTTTTTTTTGGGGGGGGGGGATGAAGCTCTGAGAATACTTTCTGGATGCATTATATCATCTTTGAGAGTCGTGTAATGTATCTGAGGAGGCAGCAGGCTGTGTGTGTGTGTCTGTGTGGGTTGTTTTTTTTTTTTTTTTTAATGCGGATGCGAGATGCAGAAGAGGCCAAGCCGTGCAGAACACAGCGTCAGTCGGGAAGCCTCAACACAAGATAAGACTCCAACTGCTGTTTTGCATCTCCCCAACCGGGGGGACGATCCGACCTTGCTAATCTTTGCTGCAGCTTCCCTAATCAAGGCGCCGACTAATCCATTTCCTCGCGCCAAGCCGAGTGGCGGTTCAGCCGGGGGCCGAGCCACACTGGCGCAATTAGGCGGAGGGAAGACAATGGCGCATGTCCCGGGTCGACGGGAAAGAATAATAGCCGAGCGAGCGTGTTGTGTGCCCGCTCCCTTTGCTTTACTCCTCAGTTGCACAACCAAGACAAAACGCACACTCTGGCGCGTGCAGTCAAATCTCAAATGATGCAATTAAAGAGCAAGTCCGCCACAGTTCAGCAACAATCAATGTGATTTGTTCCAACCCGGCGGACCCGAATAAAAGACTGCTGTTTCTGTGCAACAGTAAAATATGCACGAATGTGACCCTCAAGCTACCACAACAACAGTGCCCTCCATAATTATTGGCACCTGTGGTCAAGATGTTTTCCTTAGCTTTGAGGGAATTCTGTTTGTTTTTTCTAAATAAAACAGGACCACAATTTAAAAGCATGTATTTCAAGTACATTTATTCAGTACACATTATTCTTTGACATCAAATCATGGGTGGTACAATTAATTAACAACCGCCTTTTGCCAACAAAAAGACACCTAATCTTTTGGTGTTTAGCTCATTCCACAGGTTTTCAATGGGGTTGAGGGCCGGGGACTGACATGTCCATGCAAGGAACTTGATTCTGTGATTGGTGAACCATGTCTACAATTTTAGAGTATGAGAGTATGCTTCTTCAATTAAAAAAAAAAAAGTTATTTTAAGGCTTTTCACACATCTTAACCAGGGGTGTCAATAATTATGGAGGGCTCTGTGTGACAAAATCAATAGAAATCTTGTACCAGTGGGATCTGCGCATGCAGTATGAGAAAAATTGGGAAAGGAAAACATGACCGGCAGAGGGTATATCAGATAGGCTCCAGCACCTCCCGTGACCCTTGTGAGGATAAGCACATTTGACAATAAAGTTGTATCCAATCCGATCCAATAAAGCGGATCGGAAAATGAGTGAATGAATGAAGATAAGGTTTCCGTCTAGCCACGCTACCCCTTACACCGGACATGCTGAATGAAAAAGACAGTAGATTGTTGTCACATGTACTAAACAGCCAGTAATGGCCAGAAATTCCTGCAGCTCCATCAACGATGCTGTCGGCCTCTCTGTAACCTCCCTGGCCAGATTATTCATGATCTTTTCATCATTATGGAGGTACGTCCAGTTCTTGGCAACCACCTCACTGAGTTTGCGTTTTTTTTTTTTTTTTATGTAAAAAAAAAAAAATGTAAAAGTTGCTCTGAACTTAGCATTGACAACTTTGAATGAATAAAAAATATAATGGGGGGGTTAACTACAGTATGTGTGATTATTTCACACTCAACGATGAATAATCAAATAAGCTTACTAGCAACTTCCAGCGAAGCATTGCGACTGACGGCCTCTCCCAGGTAGTTGCGTGCCACGCAGGTGTACACGCCCTCGTCGGGTTTGCTGCGACGGCCGTGGACAATGCGCAGGAAGAAAAGCGAGCCGCTGGGCAGGAGCATGCGGTGCGAGCGGGGGTCGTCCTTATCCGTCTCCACGCGCTCGCCGTCCTTGTACCACTCCACGCTAGGAGGCGGGCGGCCCTCTGCCTTGCAGTTGAGGGTGGCCGGCTCCCCTTTGGAGACGATCAAATCGGACGGGTCCTCCGTGATCCAGGGGGCGCTGTCTTCGAACCGCACTCGTGACCCTGAGAGAGAGAAAGTTGTTTTGAGACATTTTGAACAACAATCCATGGAAAAAGTACGGTGATAACCGAGCATGCCTTCCTGTGTGCCAGCTGGCAAAGAAATGAGAAATTATCCGCAATTAAAATGTTTTCAAATTTTTCCGCCCTAGTGTCCTGTGAATCCCAAAGGACAAGGTCTGCGCCAAGCATTTAAAATGTCGAGGCTGTTGCAGTAGAATGAGATTGGCTGTTGGGCCAAAAGCTGGAAATTGAGAGAATGAGAGGTGAGCTATGGTGATGAAGATAACCCTCTCTCTGTCTCTGCATCTCCCTGGGGATCCATTACTAGCTTTTCCTTGCCACTGAGGGAGGAAAAAAAAAAAGGCCAGCAGATTTACGCTAAGCTTTTAGAGGCAGACCCCACGTCCCTAACAACGTGTTACTCTTCGCCATGAATAATTCAAAACGCCGGTGCTTTTAGGTTGATTCTGATGAACAGATGGTCTCCCCCGCGCGGAATTAACCCGAAAATAAAGAGAAAATGAAATGGTCATTGCACCGCTTTTACAGGCATTACTTCCAGCACGTAATCTGGCCCAAAAGAAAAAAAACATCCATTAAGGCTACAGATGAACAGTCTAGAGTAACCGAATGACTCACATTCTAATGTTGCATTCGACTTAAAGGGCTGAAAAAGCTCCTTTTTATTTTATTTATTTATTTATTTTGCCATAAGCAGATTGACATTTTTGATGAACCTTGAAGTCAACATCTACGAAAGCAACGCCAGCGCGCCGCTGCCACCCCCGAGGTGCTGCACTGCTCCAAGCACTTGATGCAACCGTTTATCGAGCCATTAGAAACGAAGCCTCGGCGCCCTCACTGGGTCACCGTAAAACACACACGGCTGTTTGTGAAAAATAGAATTCACATTATTTCATGCGTGACCCTCAAGCCAATGCTTTGGCACCAAGACGGCCTCTTCTGTTAGTTTCGCCAGTGCGCTACTTTGACACAGTTTGCAAAGCACATTTTTCAGGCCCAGGGAGGCTAAACAAGTCCTCAAATAAGTCTCAAACCTTTTGGAAGGCCCAAACTCCCTTTTCTTTGCCACTGTAACCAGATTACGTCACAAAAACAAACACATGCTGGGAGAATGTGACTTCTTATGGCAGATGCGAATGCACATATACGGCTCACAAAGACTTTGTAAAATGCTTATAATATGAAACCGCATTTGATCGGAGCATCTGAAAGCAACCGCATCTTAGTTTTCTCTCAACTAAGATGACGAAGAATCCTCACACAAGTCCATCACAGAGAATTAAAAATATGTTTTCACAGCATCTTATTTAAATAATTTAAGGATAGTATGAGAGTTAAAGTATTGGTGGCCTGAGCTTTTTCCCAAAACCTTTTTATTTGTATTAATGTGTTCTTTCTTTATCTAATTTATTTTGGAGTGTAGTTTCACCTTTAGCCACTAGGTGGCCGCAAACTATTGTTTTTATCCATCCAAACATCCAGCCATTCGACGAGGGTTGCTATATATCTATATATATATATATATATATATAGATATAGATATAGATATAGATAGATATATAGATATAGATAGATAGATAGATATATCTATATATATTAAACACAAAAAACAAACCAAAAAAATAAAACGGAAAATGCTTCAAATTCAACCTCGCGTTTGCTCAAGAGATTAGAAAGATTACGGAATGTCTCAATCCTCTCTCATCCTGCATTTTATGCCGATAGAAAGTAATGGCCATAGATTAATTTTATCATGTACATCGTTGAGCATTATTGGTGTATCTGGTGAGGTTGTCTTCAAAGCAGCCCTCGCTTATAGCACAGCTGGTCTCAAATCAAACTCCCGCAATGCAGGAGGAATTATTGGGAGCCACGCTGTGGGGGCAAAAAGTCATTAAAAAAAGTGGGAGTATCAAGTTATAATGTGAGAAAAGAATTGGTAATGATTTAGAAAAAAAACCTTTTGGGGGAAAATATAATTTATAATATTAGGGATATATTTTTTCAGTGGAAACATTCTATTGAAAAAAAATAAATCAAAGTTTGGATGATAAAATAAAAATGATGTAAAAATATATATTTTTTAAATGTTTAAGTACTTTTCAAGATTAGAATTTGATTACGGATTTTTTTTTTTAGTTTTGTAAAAAAAATGTAAAATATATATTTGTATTACAACTATCATTAGATTTGTTTTCTTCACACAGGAGTATTGTGGCCACAATGAAAGAAGACAAAATTACATTAAAAGTTGTAACATGAGAATCAAGTCATTATATGATTTTAGATCGTTTAACTATTTTCATTCTTTGATTTTTAGATTAGTTTTTTTTTTTTGTAATAGCAGGAGGAAAAAAAAAACTTTGAAACTGACTAATTATGGCACCACATCTGCAAAACAGCCTTTTGAGCGTCGCTGTGTTTGTGGGGAATAAAAGTGCGTTGCAGTAGGACTCGATGGCCGATTTCTTCTGGAGCACATGCATGTGGAGCTCACAAAGGGTGCACATTTCACATTCATGCTGCGTGAAAACAAAATGTAATTTAGTGCATAACTAGTCGCACAATGGCTGTGTGAACACATCGTGCTACTCGGCAGAAGTTGGAGACCCCTGCCAATAAGAACACTGGTTTAAACAAGGCAGCACATTCAACACCCTCCAAACCTAATTACAATTTTCAGAGAATGGTAGCAATTCAATTAGAAAAACATCTCTGGAGACCATTCAAAGGAGACGGAGAGGCCGTTCAGGGAAGCACAATAACGACGTTGAATAAATCATATCCAATACGAAAGGTACTGACTCATTAGGTGACCATGAAGGCCCATTATCAGTTTGAACAATCAATATCTTCTCCTTTTAGACTATTTAATTCAATATAGGTTGAACATCTTTCACAAATCATTGTATTCTCTTTTAATTTAAAGCAACAAATTACAGTCTTTAACAGAGACAAAAAAAAAAAAAAAGAGAGTCATAAGCCATTTTCTTATATTCTGAGACTGGAGATTGTTGAGCAATAATCTGCGCCCCACAATCAATAGCCCTCTTAGGGTCGAGGCTAAATATTCTGTTATTAACTTCGAATGAAATACATGCAAATGCGCTTGTCATTTTGATGTTGGGACCGTGTTTGCAGGTGCTGAATGTAACTTGCAAAGTGACTTAACTACTTTCAAAACAAAGTCATCAGTAAAGTAACGCAGGTTATTTTTAATAAAGTAATCAAACAAGTGACTACATTTTCCAGGTAGCTGTGGCAACACCGAGTACGCCATTATAGAGTGCTTTTTTTTTTTCTTTTTGAAAACACACTCGGAAAAAAATATTTGGTTTGGTTTTGGAGGATGAAACTGATGATATTCAATTTGTGTTCATTTCAATGTGGAAAAATGATTTGAAATGGTGTTGACTTAAGAATCTGGTCACAGAACAAATTCTCAGCCCGAGGCACATTGTACATGAGCAAGCCCCGCCACAAACCGAGAAATCATCTGTGAAAAGAATTTGCCTATAGCAAACCGCGAACATGCAGGCGAACGCTGTACTCCGTGACCTCCCGTTGTAAGCTGCCGATGACCTCCACGCAACATTGAAGAAGCACAAGCAAGAAAAGCTATTCATTATTTTACCAACACCTTTTGAAGCATGAAACCCGCCAATTCCGCTCTCTACGCATGGACTAATAACTCAATTGACCATCGGGAGAACTGAGGAACTAACTCACAGACAAATGACTTTAAATGGACGAAATTAATGACACGCCGCCGCGGCACAAACGAGCAGGCTTCTCATTCACAAGCAGTCATTTGAAACATTGTGCCGCTTCAGCCAGCCTGGAGCTGACAACCGTGTGTGTGTGTGTGTGTGTGTGTGTGTGTGTGTGTGTGTGTGTGTGTGTGTGTGTGTGTGTGTGTGTGTGTGTACACAACA